AGTGTTTTGCAATCTGGTGAATTAAGAAAGACATAAAAAATTGATAAAGAGAAGTCTGACTGTTTTTATGTTCTTCCATATAACATGTGTTTTAATGAATTTGCCTGTAATTTGTCTTCAAGTGCTGACATTTAACTCTAAGGCTGTATAATTGAGCTGGTTTTTCACAAGTAAAATTCATATTCTGTGTCTGGTCTAATATGTTCACCTACTATAAACATTACTGCCTATGGTAACAGCTAGGATAAATAATTCTTTATATATATATATGTATATATGTATATATATATATATATATATATCATAGCTGGCAGGGATTCCTGGGACCACCACAAATCATTCCTGTCTTGGAGCGTCCTGACAAAAAGCATAAAAATGTACAACTGGGCTAGACTGACATGGGCTACGTTCAGTTTGGAAACCTACTAGCTTATATAGAGCACTGTTTATATTACTATTATTATTTCATCATCATCATCATAGCATTATTATTATTGCCTTTTAAGATGCTGAGGATTCAAATGTGCTTATCTAATTATATAATCTCTGAATTTAGTCACCTCTCCTGTTACTGAGAACCAGCTTCTCATCAATAAGCTGTCTTAGGCTCCTGCTATTTGTGTGTGTGTGTTTTCGTGGTTAATAATGAGAATAATGAAGCAGTCGGTTATTTTTGCGTCATGATTGGCAAATCTTAGAACAGGATTTACCCAGAAGCAGTGATTAGGTTATTCAAATGTTAGGGAATACTGAAACCTGACATCATTTTAACACTCCAGAAATAATATTTCCAGCCTTGGAGTCCTGTTGTGGCACTGTAGGATAAGCACTGGACTGCTAACTTCAAAGTCGGCAGTTCAAACCTACCAGCTGCTCCTTGAAAACTCTATAGAGGATTACTCTGAGTCAGAAATGACTCAGTGGCACCTAGCAACAACAACAAATTCCTAATCTTTATCACGATAGCTTGTCTTACAAGTATTTGTGCAGAATAATCGGACTGAACAGTAATTCTCATACCAATGTCATTGTTAAATGCCATTGAGTCAATTCCAGCTCAAAGAAATCCTGTATAGGGTTTCCAGGTTTGAACCACCAATCTTGTGGTTAGCAGTCCAGTGCTTACCTTATAGTACCATACCAGGACTCCCTTATGCCAATAGCATACATAATTAATAGCATTTGTAAGTAGGAGGTTCAAAAATGTTCTAAAGGACAAAATAGGACCTAGGGAGGAAATACCACAATGAAAGGTAAGGCACAAACTCTGTCATGGTTAGAAATATCTGCCTTTCAGTCATCAAACCTCGGTGGTTACATGGCCTTCCAATTTAGTGCCTGCATCTTGAACATTTGGCAAGTTTGGAAGAGTTTGTGAGAAGAGACCCTCCAGGTTAGACAGCCATTGTCCTGAACCAAAAGTACTGTGAAAAATGCAGGGAAAGTGTATTCCCTGAAATATTGACTTAATTAACGTTATGCAAAACAAATCAAACAAGACCTAAGCCTAATTAGAATCCCTTTATGTTTAATACAGTTAGACCTTTCGTTGTGAATTAGGCCACAATGATTTTTACCACAGCAGCATCATTGCTTCAGTACTCTGTTTGCTTTTTGTTACTATAACCACTTTTTTGAGGTATAATTCACATACCATAAAACTCATCCTTTTAAAGTAAACAGTTCAGTGGTTTTGAGTTTTGAGTATTTCACAAAGCTGTGAAACTATCACCACTGCCAAATTCCAGAACATTTTAATTACATCCCCCTCCCTTAGCAACAAAATTCAGACCCATTAGCAATCACTCCCCATTCCTGCTGACTCAACCCCTGGCAACCATGAATACATTTTATGTCTGCAGGATTTGCTTTTTGGACATGGCCTATAAGTACAGTCATGTACTATGTGGCCTTTTGTGCCTGGTTTCTGTCACTTAGGATAGTACTTTTCAGATCCATCCATGTTACAGCTCGTACTTTAATCTTTTTTTATATGGCCAAATAGAATTTTATTGTCTAGGTAAACTACGTTTTGTTTATCTGTCGGTGACCATTTGGGTTGCTTATGCTTTTTCACTATTAAAAATAATGATGCTTTAATATATATATATATACAGGCTTTTGTGTGAACGTATGTTTTCGTTTATTTTGGGTGTGTACCTAGGAGTGGAATTGATCGACCAATGTGGTAATTCTATATTTAGCTTTTTGAGAAATTGCTAAATTGTTTTCAAAAGTGACAGCACCATTTCACATTCCCACCTGCAATGTATTGAGGATTTTAATTCTTAAACACCCTCACCAGCACTTGTTTCTGGTGGTCTTTTCATGATAATGATTTTGGTGGATGTAGAAATGGACTCTTCATTGTATTTATTTGCATTTCCTGAATGGCTGTTGATGTTGAGTATCTTATTAAGTGTTTCTTGGCCATTTATATGTCTTCTTTGGGGAAATGTTTACTTAAGTCCTCCATCCAGTTTTTACTTGGATTAACAACTTTTTATTGTTGAGTTATAAGATGTCTTTATATAGTCTACATACAAATCCCTCATCAAATATATGACTTACAAATATTTTTTCTCATTCTATGGACTGAGAATTTCTCTTTTTAATTTATTGATAGTGTCCCTTGAAACAAAAAAGGTTTTAATTTTGATGATGCCTTGTTTCCCTATTTTGTCTCTTGTTGCTTCTTGTACTTTCTGTGTCATATTTAAGACATGAAGATAACAAGACTTATGCCTATGTTTTCCTCTAGGAATTGTATAGTTTTGGCTCTTATATTTAGGTATTTGATCAACTATGGAAGTGTTAGTATGTAATGTAAGATAGGGGTCTAACATTCTTTTCCATACAATTGCATTTATTTTTATTGTAGGATACACACAATGTAAAATTCGCTGTTTTCAAGTGTGTAATCCATGGCATTAGTCACACTCATAGTATTGTTATACAAATATTATAACCATCACCACTGTTTGTTTACAAAACTGTCATCATCCCAAGCAGAAAGTCTGTCCTCATTAGGTACTGTCCATCCCTAGTCCCACCTCCCCGCTCAGCCTCTGATAACCACTAATTTGCCTTAGTTCTTTAGGGATTTGCCTATTCTGGATTTCTTATATACATGGGAACATACAATATGTGATTTTTATATCTGACTTCTTTTACTTATTGGTTGGTTGGTTGGTTAAGTGCCATTGAGTCAGTTCTGACTCATAGAGCCCCTGTTTCCAAGAGCAGCTGGTGGGTTTGAACTGCAAGTTCAGTGCTTATATTCCAGTGTCACACCATGGCTCTTTGTTGTTGTTGTGTACCATCAAGTTGGTTCTGACCCATAGCAACCCTGTCTAGGGTTTCCGAGGAGCAGCTGGTGGATTTGAACCTCTTAACTTGCAGTCCAGTGCATTATTCTGCAGTGCCATACCAGGACTCCATGGCTCTTTGTATGTGTGTTTATATATATGTATATATACATATATGGATAAACAAATTATGGTGTATATATATATATGTGTGTGTGTGTATACATTTATTTATACCACAATTTGGTATAATATATATACCACAAGTTGTTTTTCCATTCATCTTCTGATAAACATGTGAGTTGTTTCAACCTTTGCTGTGAATACTGCTGCATTGGACTTGGTATGCAAGTAGCTGTTTAAGTCTACTTTCAGTTCTTTGAGGCATATATCTAGGAGTAGAACTGCTGGGTCATAAGGCAATTTTACGTGTAACTTTTTGAGCACTAAACAGTTTTCACAACAGCTGTACCATTTTGCAATCCCATTAGCAATGGCTGACGTTTCAATTTTCTGCAACCTCACCAGGACTAAATATTTTCCTGTTTTAAAAAAATAAGTCATCCTAGTAGGTGTGAAGTGAAATCTCATTGTGGTTTTGATTTACATTTTCCTTATGAAGTTGAACATCCATGCTTATTCCATCTGTAGATCTTCTTTGGTGTTGTTGTAGTTAGGTGCCATTGAGTCAGTACCGACTCATAGCGACCATATGCACGGCAGAACGAAACACTGCCCGATCCTGGGCCAACCTCACTATTGTTGCCACACTTGAGTCCATCGATGTTGCCACTTTACCAATCCATCTCACTGGGGGTCTTCCTCTTTTTCTCTGACCCTCCATCCTACCAAACATGATTATCCTTCTCTGGCAACTGCTCCCTCCTGATAATATGTCCGAAGTATGAGAGACGAAGTTAGGCCATCCTGGCCTCCAAGGAGCACTCTGGCTGCACTTCTTCCAACACAGATCTGCTGGTTCTTTTGGCAGTCCATGGCACTTTCAGTATTCTCCTCCAACACCATAACTCAAAGGCATCAATTCTTCTACGATCTTCTTTAGGAATGTGTATTCAAGTCCTTCGGTCATTTTTTAAAATTTAGTTGTTTGTCTGTTGTTGAGTTGTAGGAGTTCTTTACATATTCTAAACTCTTATCATATATATGATTTCCAGATATTTTCTCCCATTCTGTAGGTTGTATTTTCACTTTCTTGATTATGTCCTTTGATGCACAGAAGTGTTATTTTATTTTGATGAGGTTTGTGTTTTGTTCTTCAGGATTTTGGTGTCATATCTAAGAATGTGTTGCCACATATAAGGTTCTGAAGATTTACCCTTTTTATTCTGATTTATGGTTTTAGCTCATATTTAAGTCATTGATCTGAGTTAATTTTGATACAACCCTTACATTTATCTAAAAATATTTTAGATTTAAAAATTGGAGAGCTAAATTTCTCTTTAAATCAGATGACCATTGCTACTGTCTTTGTGAATTAATTTTTCATGAGTCTTTTTGGGATACATGTACTATATTATATTCTTCTGAAGACTTTACAATCATCTGTTCTCTCACCAAAAATGGTTGCATTGTTTTTCTCTATTTTTTGTGTTTTTTTAATCTGAAAAGCAGAACTGATAGATGACACATAAATCAAACTTTAAAGTTCTTTCCCTTAATTTGCAATCTCACCTCTTCAGCTACAATACAGAGAATGCCAAGAACTTTTAAGCCTTTATCAGAAATACCTATCAGATCAGCAGGAGAAGCTCACCATGTCTCTCTCAGAACTTGGTACTGCTAAACTTCAGGAGCAACAGGTAAGCATCTTTATTTTTACCATTCTTTAATGCGTTATCTTTTGGCTCACTGTAAGTAATGTAATTTTAAGGCATATAAATATAGCATGTGTTTGACCTCCCTCTTTCCTTTCCCCTCTCCTGTTTCTGGGGCCCAGAAGTCAGGAATGGTTACCTGAAGCAGACTGTGGGTCAGTGGGGAAGCACTAGGTGTATGAAAGCACAGCAGGAATGGTAAAGAGAACCCTGTACTCTGTTGCTTAATGAAGAAAGTCAGATGGGCTGCAGGTTACTCAGTGTCCTAATAGAAAACATTCATAAACCTTGGCTAACATTTATATTTTTAGAATAATAAAAGTAAAAATTGGAATGTTTTGCTTAATTATATGTATGCATATATTTATTGAGTCCTGGAATGGTGTAGTAGGATAAGCATCTGACTGCTAACCCCAATGTCATCAGTTCAAACCCACCAGCAGCTCCTTGGAAATCCTTCAAAGGGTCACTTGAGTTCGAACCAATTTGAATGCTCTTAACTGAAAAGACATTTATTAATCACATAAATATTTGATTGTTTACATATGCATCTTTCTTTGTATGTATGTATTTGTGTGTGTGTGTGTGTATATTGGTATACAATTAAATGAATGTGTAGAAATCTACCATTTGTTATGTGAAAGCTCAAAAGATACTTCTTGCTCCTCCCTACCAACTGATATTTGATGTCTTTTTCATGTCTGTATGAATTTAAATCTTTAAATGTATTAAGATAAGCATTCTGTATTATAACACTGTAGAAAGAACTATGAAGTAGGATTAAAGTACTTCATATCCTCTTTGAAATGGTACCAAGTTCTTAAAATCAGACTTTAGGGTTTTTTTTTTTACAGTGTTTCCTAAAGGAGCCTAGGTGGCACAGAGGTTAAGCACGCCACTGCCAATGTATAGATCAATGGTTCAAAGCTGCCAACAGCTCCATGGGAAAAAGATGTAGCATTCTATTTTCATAAAGATTTACAGCCTTGGAAACCCTGTGAGGCAATTCTATGCTGTCCTTTAGGGTTTGCTTTGCGTTCTACATAATTCAGTGCCAATTGTTTTTGTTTTGGGTTCTAAAGAGCACCATTGCTGTTCAATTTAGAGACAGCTGTCTCAGATAGGTTATTTTTGGCCAAGGAAACTAATTTTGAACTAAAGATTGCATATGTGAAAAAGTAACAATTTTCTAAAGTAACAAAATTCTCAAGAAAGGGCCTAAGTATGAATTGTTTATCTATATTGTTATTTGAAATTCTTTCTTTTGTTCTGTTTTATGAAAAGCTAGTTGTAAAGTGAGAGGGGAAAAGGTAGTATCTTATCTTGATTGTTTATATGAGTTTTCCTTACCACTTTGGAAACAGGTCAGGTTGTGGTCCTTGCTTATTGCTATTTTGGACCGTGTCAAGAACATGGTCTCTTGAAGATCACGTTTCTGACTTTGTTTTTGCATTTCCACTTTCTCCTTCTCCATGACATAGGTGTACATAGGGGGCACACAACAGAAGGGTAACCCCCTTTGCAAGGGTATGGTAAGTGAGTGGAAGGGACCTTTTATTTGCCGGTAAAAATACAGACTTACAACCATAACAATACAGAAAGTCAGTTTGAAACTACCAGCAGTTCTGCTGGAGAAAGATGAGGATTTCTGCACATGTAAAGATTTACAGCCTCTGAAACCCTATGCAGGGTCACTATGATCGGAACCAACTCCACAGCACATAACCACTACCACCATCACCAGGGGCCTTTATGGAGTCCTGGTGTGGTACTGTAAAATACTTGACCACAAGATTGGTTTCAGCCACAAGGTCAGTGGTTCAAACTCACCAGCCAATCCTTGAAAACCCTATACAAGGTTCCTATTAGTCGGAACTGACTTGATTGCACTTAAATGCTATAGACATGTAGATAAAGAAGTCTAACTTTTTCTACCTACTTCTGACATTGGGGGAAAATAAAAATTCCCTAGTTACTAGTATTTTAAGTGTAAGCTAGTGATTTCTTAGAGGTTTCACTAGAGTCTGATCATAGTTAAAACTGCCTCCTTTACCCTTGGTCTTGAGGAACAAACTAAAGAAATAGCAAGTTCTAGAATGAAATGCTGGCCAAATATATGGAAATAAATGCCCTCACAAGGAGTCCTGTTGTGGTGTTGTATAATAAACTCTAGACTGCTAAACCACAAGGTTGGTGGTTCAAACCCACCTGCTGCTCCTTAGAAATCCTATACAGGGTCGTTACGAGTCAGAACTGGATTGATGGCACTTAACATGGCTTTAAGAAGAGGACTACTCTTGAATTTTCATTTTTACTAAATTATGAAAACAATTTAGAACTGTGCTTTCAGAAAGTACCTATTGGTACTTTCAAGCACTGGGTTAGGTCTTATATTCATTGAATATGAAACTGAAAGTTGAAGGCCACTTGTAGACTTTGCCAATTGAACCTACAGAGGAAAAAAAAATTTTTTTTAAGTACAAAATTGAGATAGTTTCCTTGTTTCCCAAGTTGTCTGCTTTCTCTAAGCTGGACATAGGTAAGCACTGCTCTTCTTTCCTCTTAAGAATTAGGTAAATTTACTTGGTCTGCCCCCTCTTGGCAGGAAGGGCATCATTGTGAAGACTGAACTTGGAAATTGACCAGATTCTCTCTTCTTCCTCTATTTGCTCTGTGACGAAGTTAAGCGTCCTCTTCATGAGCTACCGGATGGACCGTGCCCGTCTCTGTCATAGTACCTTTCTTGTTATTTTGTAATCACTATTTACTCATTCATGTCCCTCATCAAGCTTTTATGAGAGTAGACACCATGTTGCTCTTCTGATCAGTGTCAAAAGCCTGGTTCTGAAACTTTCCCACTTTTTCCATAGTTACTTGGCCCAGGTTTCTTATTATAGGTCTGGGTTATAGGGTGGCTAGGCACCCAGAATCTGTAAGATAAGTCATGGCTGAGTACATGTTGTAATGCCTCTTGTCACTTGTCTCAATAGTTGTTTTAAGAGTTTTTGTACTGCTTAGGCTCACAGAGTGTTGAGACTGCTTTCTAGTCTGTGATTATTTTTTGATATTTATTTTTTTAAAAAATATGTTTGGTTAGCTACTATTAATAGATCTCTTACCATTTCAATTTTATTATATATACATATTTAATGTGCTGACCTACAAAGTCCTTTGAACCGCCAACTTTGCAATTATATCTATGCTGTTAAGTGCTGTCAAGTTAGTTGTTAAGTGTTTTATATATATATAAACATATACTATGTTTTTTTAATTCTAAAAGACTCCCCTGTTTTCAAGCTGTGGCTATTAACTTTGTTATTGGCAGTCACAAAGCTTCACTATACTGTCCAGAGATCTTCTAGTTGGCAAACCAAATGAGAGAAGGTGGCATACTGTTTCAGTATCTGCTAATATAATGTCTGGCTCTAATGTAATATAAGCTCACAGAAGAAAATGGTTTTGCTTTCATAGGATTTAAAGGACTAGTGATATTAAGTTTGATACTGGGTCATGATTTAAAGGAAAAGCCCCTATAATATATCACATACCCATTTTCTTGACTTTGGCCTTTTTGTCCTCAGCCTACATTCTACAGGTGACTCCAAACTCTTCTGTTCATTCCCTTACGTTATATACAGATATATTTATTTAGTCTTTTTCTCCCTGTAAGACAATTATGTGCCCCACCTGCTGTCATGTGATCTTAGTGCGTTCCTATTGGAGAAGTTCATTTTCCTCCCAAATTCACATCAAATAGCTTGGCCAAATTACTGGTTTGTTCAGTAAGCAGACATTTTATATGGAACAGTCCAGTATGATGCTTTAGAGTAATTTTCTTTTCAACCATGCTGTTTTCCCTGTAGTGATAATGGCATATCCCAAATAAGAACTATTCCTCCAACTAGGACCCGAGAAGGAAACATGAGGAACAGAACCTCAGCCAATTTGTAATGTGGATGAAAAATAAACTTTTGTTGTTGAAAACCACAAATATTTTGAGTCATTAGCTCTTCTAGCTAACCTAATCTCTCCAATGAAAATTTAAAATCCTACATGGGCAGGACTGGGACCTTATATTTCTTCTTTTTTATCTCCATGGACCCACATTTGAGAATTCCCTTCTGTAGTATAACATTCCTTTAGTATTCTTAGTTCAAAAGTAGAAACAATCATACCTCATGGAGTAGTTATGAAGACTAGGTAAAATTATGTATTAATCTATAAGTTGCACTGACATGCAGACATGCAGATCCTGGGATTTAAAAGCAAACTCGATTATTTATGCTTTGTTCTGTCTCTTCAGTATGTGCGCACGTGCACGTACACAGAAAGCACAGCTAAAAACATGCATTAAATGTGTGTTTCTTGGGGATCAAATTTATAGGATGTCAAAGTGGGGAGTCTGGCAAATTCTTTTTTTAAAACAATGCTAAAGCCAAACATGTTTGTCAGAAGCAATGATTTCAAGACATTGGCGATTGACCAAAGGCATAAAACAAATTGAAAAGCACTTATTCAAGAAAAACAACTGAGCCTCAGGTGAAAACAGAAGGAATCTGTAGTGTATTAGCCTGGGACTACTTCCATTCCAATCCTCATCTCTACTCACGCAGTAGTTTCACAAAGGAAGAGCATGCTATAAAAAGGAGCAACTTTACTGCCCAAGGGACATCATTTTATTTAGAGCAGAGTACAGAGAAAACCTCTGCCCCTGAGCATTGTCTAAGACAGTAGAAATCTTGGCCACCTCATGGCTGGCCTGACATTGCCATTTGGTTGGTACAAGCATCATATCAGCAGACTAGCCAGAGATTAATGGGGACACTGGGAGAATGAGACAGCTAAAGTTCTACATATTTCTGACTTTCTAGAAAACTTCATGCATTCTTAGGGCTACTCCAGAGAATAGACTCGCTAATTACACATCTCTGGATTCATGTGAAACTTTGGTGTACACAGAAAGGAGATAGAGAAGGCCTGATGGA